GTCCCACCTTAGGCATGAAAGCCGGCTGGGTGACTTTGTGCCAGTCATTCTCTCTCAGCCCAACTCACCTCACAGGGTTGTTGTTGAGGGGAAAATAGGAGTATTAGATATGTTCATCACCTTGAGTTATTTATAAAAATAATAAAGGCAGGATAAACGTTATTTGTAACATCTCTTCACTTATTATTTTTTGTTTTAGTTTGGTTTTTTATATTTTTATACTTTTTAATGTATTTATTTATTGCTTTTTAACCCTGTTGTACACCGCCTAGAGTTGCTTGGAAAAAGTGAGATGGGCAGCTAATAAATTGGGTAAATAAACAAACAAACAATCTAAAAAAATAACATCCAAATAAATCTGGCTGCCTTTAATGCTTGGGAATACAACTAAATTCTGATTAAAAACAGAACCTGCTAGGATTTCAAAGAAGCCAATAATAACTCTGTGGTTGTAGCCCTAGTGGCTCATATTCTAATTCATGTAATTTTAAGAAAAGAAAAAAATCCGATGCCCAATGGAACAACTAAAAATCTGGAAAATCAGAAGCCCCATTTTCATATGGTAATTACAATTTGAAAGAAAGAACCCTGGGATCTGACCATTCCATTAAAAAGTCATCAGTAGCTTATTGATCTGTTTAAAATATCTAGTTGGAATTAACACAGAGACATCTCTCTTAAATTTATATACTAATCTTGAAGTTAAATTCATTTTTACCACATTTATTCTTCCCCATAAATTCATAAGTACTTTCAACTGTCTGTTAACATTATTGTTAATCTGAATTATACTGCCAATTGTATTTACATATACTACAAAGGCATTTTTCTTGGAAGAATTATTCCCAGATATTTAAGAGATTTCAGACAATAAACAAAACCCATTTTTAACATATTACCAACTGACAATATATTAGATCACCTGACAGAAAATAATATTGTAATTATTAGTACCTGTGGGTTTTCTTCTCGTTTTGGCTTGGGAGGTGCAGGAGGGGTAACAGTATGAACCTCTGTTGGCTTCTCCTCTGTTTCTACTTGGGGCTTGACTGTCTGAAATAGAAACAACTAAATATGTATTTCTTATTTTAGCCATGAAACGAAACGAAAGAAAGAAAGAAAGAAAGAAAGAAAGAAAGAAAGAAAGAAAGAAAGAAAGAAAGGAGAAACAATGCTTGTTATCAACCAGAATGACAACAATGATGAAAACCCTTAATTACGTGAAAATATCCCAAATAATAATAATTTTTTGGAACACCCCAAAGGTCCAAGACTTAAGTAAAAGACCTGGGAAGCAGAACTACAGATGAGTTGACATTTTATAAAATGATCTCCCTGAAAAGCTTGCTTAGACACCATTTTGTTAGGAAGAGGCACTCTGCACTTCTCTTCATGCTTTACTACTAACATGAATTTGCCTGAAAATTAGTTCTCCATGATTCCTGAAAGACTGGGTTTTCCTGAAGTATATTTACATGCTATATGGCAGAATCCTTTGCATATAGCATCATAAGTGCCTCCACAATGACACAACAATCACTTTATGACATGGGTGTGAAGTCATAAAATGTTACCAATCTGTTCCAAGGAGACAAAGATATTTTCAGTATGCTATAGGAGCAATGCACAGAATATGCATATGCACTGGTTTGTATTTAATAATAAGCCATATTGTGGCCTGTTCATTTTTGGCTTAGCATGCTATCTATACAAATTAAGCTGCTTTAGATTTTTCAACAAAACATGCTTAAAACCTGGCTTATGATTATGAGTGAACGCTGGCAATGTCTCTAAACATTTGTTTGAACAGTAGAGTTTTTTTTAGATTTTTTTATTCTGACTTTATTCTTTTTTATAAATAACTCAAGATAGCAAACATACCTAAAACTCCTTCCTCTTCCTACTTTCCCCACAACAACCCTGTGAGGTGAGTTGGGCTGAGAGAGAGTGATTGGCCCAAAGTCACCCAGCTGGCTTTCATGCCTAAGGCAGGACTAGAACTCAGTCTCCTGCTTTCTAGCCTGGTGCTTTAACCACTAGACCAAACTGGCTCTCAGAGACTCTTTAGTTTATTCTAAAAGAGTCTTACAGTTTAGTCTGATATGGCTCTGAACCAGCACTGGAAATATCTGGCACTACTTACCGAATAAGTCAATCATGGTTAAAGATATTAGAGGTACAACTAAGTCTCAATTAACACTAACAGTGGTTCTTTGTTAGTTCAAAATGGAAGGAAATACTACTCCTTTCCTTAAGTGCAAACCAGACTAATAATTTAGTATATGCTGATTTTCTGTTCATGTTTTAAGGTGAATTAATGCACAAATATGCTGCAACTTCCTAAAAGACAAAAAAGTTGGTCACTTTCCTCATGTATCAATGGAAAATTTGTCAAGCTTACAGGTGAAACTCGAAAAATTAGAATATTGTGCAAATGTTCATTTATGTCAGTACGGC